AGTATGGCCAATAAGGAAGCACTTTTCACTACCCAGAACTTATATAGTACAATTGTTACCATTCCTATTAACAAGTGCTCAAGCAACTATAATGTAATGTGTGCATGTAACATACAAAGTTCAATAGTGAAAGTTTACCAATGTACATTTACAGAATATAAACACACTGAAATAAAACTAGACATGGGACGTTTTCAGAGGCTCAAGCAGAACATAAACATTAAGACCACTAACATATTGTCAAGTTTATCAACTGAATGTAGAACAAGGTATATTATTAGAAATGAAAGGGAAAAGTGGCTGAAGTTTCCTCTCTAGAAAACGAACACTCAGAACATAACAAAAAGAAATAAACATGTGTTGAGGGAAACTTTCATGAGTCTGTAACTAATTCAGATCTCTTTTCACCTCTAAATATGATATGATGTAGATGGTTCTGTCCCTTACTGTAGGTTTCTTCTGCAAAGAAGCTGGATTTTAGAAGGGACAAGTTGTGCTGAAGTTAAAAATTGCTAACTTCAGGTAGCTCTTCTCTTCCTTTCCAGCTGGCACTAATTCATTAACAGTGACCTGGTAAGAAGCATCACCATCTGATGAAATATGTTGGGAGGGTGGAGGGGGAAGAAGAGGAGATATGATTATATTTTGGAGTGATTTTTTTTCTTCAGTGAAAAAGATAAGATTGATATCTTTACTATATAATTAAATGTACTGAATTTTAGCACAAAAACTTTTTTTTTTAAAGAAACTCAACCTCAATAGTGCTAGTCTCTAACAGAAAAAGAGGGTAATAGTAGCAGTGGAAAGATAGGAAGAAGGGGGAAAAACGTCTGCTCTCAAAAAGTATACATTATAACATATTTGTTTAAATTATTTTCATTATGACGAAATTAAATATGATGTGCAATTTAAAGATCTATTAAACTTCTATTTAAACATAAGCATATGAACACGTTTTAAAGCTAAACACAAATTCTGATTTATCCCTGGCAGTTTCCTTCATTAATGTCACTAAAATTTCCAAACCATAAAATAAAATGTCCAGACAACCTTCAATTAGTCTGGCCCACCGGTCTGTGTAACTAATATGAAGTATATTTTAATATAAAATGGAATCTAAGACTTCTAAAATGGAAAATTCATTCATCAAAGAGTAAATGATCTTTGAGGTATAAGGAGTCACTTAATAAAACTGCCACCATTGTTAAAGACTGACTCCCAACATCTATAGGAAGGATGCTAGAAACAACGCTAGGTGGAAACTAGGACAGATCATGAGGCATCTGACCTGTGGAAAAAGATATGCAGTGTAAAAGGATATGCAGTCTGAGGTTAAGATGCTGTCACATAATACAGGGAAGTTAAGATACTCTAGAAAAACTCTTATGATGAATTAACAAGATTTAGAGAAGAGAAACAAGAGACAATCGTATTTCTATAAATGAGTGAGAAGAGGAAGATTAACCACTGACCTTAGTAATTACACTGCCTCTATTCTTCAGGACTATTAAAAACCACTCCAGATCATGTGACTATGAGTGAGTTACTTTGCCTCTCTGTGCAGCAGTTTGTATAATAATTATACCTAACTGCCACATAGGGTTGCTTACAGGGATTGAGTATTAAAAAGTGCTTAGAACAGTGTCTCAAACTACACAAGTGTTTATAATGTCACAGATGACAATGAAGATACCACTGTCAAAACCAAACTTTACTTTCCTCAAATCCTTATATAACCACTATTTTTCAGGTTTTAAGAATGTGAATTTATTTAATCCTCCTAAGAATTAAAGAAGTTATTTTTATTCCCTTTGTACAAATGTGTTCTGCAGAAAAAACAAGAAACTTACTAGACTAAGTAATCCAACTAGAAAAATAGTCTAGCACACAAATATACAACAGAACTATTTTCAAGTAAGAGATTTACTTCATTTCAGGTAGCAGTTTGAAGTTAGACTCTGACAAAGCAGCAAATTATCAAGCAGAAAAATATAAATACATTTAAAATTACTTAAAAAGCTTAGAAATGAAGTAAAAACTTGGTGAAAAAATAATTACTGGTAAGGGCAGTTGTCCTTTATTAATTATCCCATAAGCTATGTGCTTACCTGAACACTGAATATGAACGATCTCATTTAATCTTATGAAATGATTACTATTGTTATGCTACTCTACAGATTAGGAAAGTTTTTGGTGGTATTAAATAACTTGAAAGAAGTCATACAGCTGAAAAGTGGTAGAGAGAACTGTTGAAAAACATTAAGTTTACCCTGCCTCCATGGCTCCTTTGTGAAGGATACCTTCTAGTTTGTGATTGGTGGTGGGCAAGTAACAGCTGCCTACTTGGTGTATTCCTGAGTTATGTGTATATGTAGAACACCTGTGTATTAATAAGACTATATGTAGAACATCTGTGAATTAATAAGAATCACCTGTCAAAGAGGAAATAAATGCATGAATGAATTTCTGCTGGGGGACTTCAGTCCTGGAAAGTTGGTCCCCAGACAGAGCAATTCTGTTGGCTATCTGGGTGTCTGCCTCTCAATACCTTCAGCCTGCCTGGGTAAGGAGCTCCTGACCAAGCTGGATCTTGGCAGCGAACGTTCAATTCCAGGTCTATCTGGCATCAAAGCCTATACCTTTAACTATTATTCAAGCTGCTCTAAAGCAATGCACATTTTATTGAGGCCAGCCATTGAAACCTAAGACTTTCAATATGGTGAAATAATGCCCAAATTAGGAGAGTATGTTCTTTATTTAGTTCTCTGCCTTAACACACACAAACACAGCAAAGTTCATGCATTGTCAGGACTACTTAGTTAACTCGTGTCTCTTGCAGTTTTAGAATCAGAAAAGAAAGAAACTATTCCTTAAAACTTTTCGGGAACACAAAAAGTGGGTCTCAAAATACCATCCCAAAACACTATAAACATGCAATCATATTAGTGAACTGAAAAAAAGAAAATACAATTTTCACTATTTCAAGTTATTTCTCTATCATGCCCACAGAAACATAAAGTTAAATTGTTGCTTCTGATTATTACTTTTTAAAGAAACATGTCTAAATTAAGCAATAAAACTAAATATAGTAGTTCAAAATGCACAAGTAAATCTAATTTTAGTCATTGATTACAATAGTTCTTCAAAAAAAATCACAAAGTTATCACTTAGAATGAAAAAAACTTCAGTTTTTTCAGTTTTACCAATAAAACTGGATTTAAAATTTCTAAATACATGATGTTCCTATCATTTTGCACTGTATTTATGTGTTAAAAATTTTTGCACTAAAAATTTTTATTGAAAAATAACCAAATTAAATTGAATCCCATCATCAAAAAAATTTCTGTACTTTAAAGAATTCCAAAACTGAAAACCTCAATTAGCACTATATTTGTTACAAAAACAAGTGGGTATATCATCAAGAAAATCTAAACAGTTAATAATTTAAGAATTGAAAAGCAGAAGAATTGCTACAGTCCTACCAATCAGGAAAAATTACTATAAATATTTGTATTGTACTGTTCTAGGTTTTGTCTTCAGATGACTTTTGTTGTTTTATGTAGTTGTGGTCATGTTACATATATAATTTTTTGTGACTTGTTTCTTCACTTGGCATTATAATATGGTCAGATTCTTAAGTTTATAAATTTTTCTGAGATATATTTAATGACTCCATATCACAGTAGAAGGATGTACCACAGGTAACTTGTTAACCAATTCCCTATTATCACACCTTTGTGTATCAGAAGTGTGCAACACAACTTTTATTATACCTCTGCTAGCAGTAATAATTTTAAAAAACTATTTTAATATATTAAAATGTGTGGGTAGAAAAATGTAACCATTCTATTTAATGTTTTATTTTATCTGGGTTACTACTGGGTCTGAATTTAACTGAATTAAAAATTTCTAAATACATCATAATGTTTCTATCAGTTTGCACTGTCTTTATGTGTTTATTTTATTTGAGTTACTATTGGGTATGAATTTAACTGAATTTAAAATTTCTAAATACATCATGATGTTTCTAACATTTTGCACTATATTTATGTGTTAAAAATTTTTGCACTAAAAGTTTTTTATTGAAAAATAACCAAATTAAATTGAATCCTATCATCAAAAAAATTTCTGTACTTTAAAATACAGAAATTCTCTTGAGTTTGTTAGAGTATTTCCTTTTATGAGATTACTTTTACTTATTTATCTAGTGGAATCTCTGTGTGCTTACTGGCAATTTATAAATCTCTTTTACATAAAAGTAGTAAGACTTGGCCCTATTCACCACAAATATTTTTTCTAAGTTACTTGCTGTTGATGTTTTTTTTTTCTGTTAATAGTCAAAAACTTAAATTTTTCACACAATAAAATCTGTTTTTCTCTTTAATTTCTTATATACCTATTAAACTTTGTATGTCTTCCACCACCTAGAAATGTGATAAATGCTCTTATATTTTTATCCAGCTTTATCGCTTGAGTTTTATTTTTGTTTTTTTTAAAGACAAAATGCTTTACAATGATAGATTCTTTTATTTCAAAAGTTAAGGTCTACTGTAAGGAAGAAAACAACACAAAATATACCTAACTACACAGTGTAAAGAGCAAAAGTCCATGTTTTTCCCAAATTTTAACCAAGAGTTAACAACTGTCTGGGGTTTTTTTTTCTATGCATATACAAAAGGAGAGGCAAAAGTACCTGTAACTTACCAACATTTCAACTCTTCCTCTCATGATCTCTTAGCTCTTCCCTAATAGGGACTGAGAAATGCTAGACCTGCAATTTATTAATAGTAAATATTCTTGATATAGTTTATCATCAAGATTCCTAGACTTACAGAATTCTTTATTCAAGAAATGACAGTTCGAAGACCTGGTAATTTTTGAAACACTATTTTGGAAATGCTGACTTAGTTTTACTTTAATCACTACAGACAACTCAAAACTGTAACGCTTTTCTGAATATAAAGTATACAAGTTAAAATAATAAAAAGCAACAAACTTACTTGGGATACACTGGTTCGTAAAGGTACTTGTCCCCTCTTGTAGATGTAATATGAAAAAACAAGATGTATCCATTTGCTGTCTGAAAAAGAAATTTTTTTAGTCATGAATTAAAGGGTAAGGCTATAACTGTAACCCTGAATTTTAATTTTATAAATTCTTTGAAAAAAATTTTACTCTCCAATACCCTCCCTTAGAGAATTATAGCTTAATTATACAAATAAAAGTAACTTGTTTAATATAACCCATATTGAAAAGGAGAGTTTTTACAGATTTGAAAAGATTTCAAAACATGTCATTGAAATCAGTACTTCATAAAATATTCTTGATATGAATATTCTCAAATAGCTGTATTATTCAATAATGAGTGATTATTTTGCAGAATATATAGAACTTTTTGAACTCCGCACTAACATGGAAAATAATTATTCTAAGTTTATAAAGCAACAATGCCACTTTATGGCTTTATTATAACTTTATGACAAAGCGCTTACTCAAAGATTACACAGTATTAACTTCAGAAAAGCATATTTAAATCAATCCTTTGGTCTCTGATTTACTACAAAATATAGCCCAAGACATAGAAGTAAAACTGAGCAAACCTTTAATTTCCAAAATTTGAACATCAGCTAGTTCATATTTTTAAAAAAGAAATTGTATTAAAAACAGTGCTGTTACATGATCATGACATACATCTATGGCTTGTGAAGTTCAAACAACCATTTTACATTTCTGTAAGTATAAAATACTATATTTAGCTGTTTCTAGTCAAACATTTTTAGGCATGACAGAGTAAAGTGGCAGTGTTTTGCCCAAACTACTTTATGGTAGTACTGAATTCCTATCATTTTAGAGGCAGGTGGGCAAGTACTCAAAGTAGAACCAAAGAAAACCAAAGAAATTATCAAGGTTTCAAATTTCTTTCTAATTCTGGCTTCCTGTTTTTCAAAGGAATGACCAAGGAAACGGTTTCTTCAGCAAAGCCAGGTTATTTGCTTTCTTTCTTAGTATTTTACAATGTATCTGAAATTTCAGTTTCAACACTGTAAGATGCAAAAAAAAAAAAAAAAAAGTGAAAATTCTTCAGATTAAGATCATCTTTCTCATTCTTCATGTGCAATTTTATGTTCTTGCAATATGGAGAATATGGAAGCAAAAGGAAAATGGCTTCAAATCAAATCATAGCAAAAGTTTCACACATATTGCCCTAAACAGATTAATGACTGTTCAAAATCTTTAAACTCTAACTATTACCTTATATGAGCTAGAAAAGTAAAATAATATGGTCTAGTGCTTAAGAGGGATAACATTAACCTACCAATACTGTCTGAAATATAGTTATTCAAGGCCAAAAGCTCAGCACTTCAGAGTATCAAATGTTAATAATATACTCAGAATCTTAACAATTGCTTAGAAGACTGGAATGTCAGGGAAAATATGCATCATTTTGCACCAGCATTTAGAAACTTTATAAACACAGTATAGTAGCTGAAATTACAAATAATAGCTTGATTTACTATTTTGGCATTCTATGTATCAACCATCTTTACTAAATATCTAAGGCTTTGTATGAATAGTAAATGCTATATACTTCCAGATCCCTAAGACATTTATTATTGACATTTAAACAGTCCTGCATTTGAAAAATTTAAAAACCGTTTGATAGTAAATGGATTATCCTTAAAAAGTAGTTTGTTTGTTTGTTTTTCTGAGATAGGGTCTCACTATATTGCCCAGGCTGAAGTGAAGTGGTGTGATTATGGCTCATTGGAGCCTCAATTTCTTGGGCTCAAATGATTCTGTTGCCTCAGTCTTCTAACTAGCTGGGACTACAGGCATGCACCACCAGGCTTGACTAATTTTTTAAATTATTTTTAGACATGAGGTCTTGCTATGTTGTTTAGGCTGCTCTTGAACTACCGGGCTCAAGCGATCTTCCTGTCTCAGACTCCTAAAGTATTGGGATTCTGTAATCCCAATCATATGCCATCACACCTGGCCAAAATGTAGCATCTTACTGTTGCTATACTAAATCTGTCTTTATGCAGTGTTACAGTAAGCCTTCTCTTTGCATTCCCAAAATAATGCAAATAAAGCATATAACGATTGCTTAATCTACAGGCAACAATCCTAACACCTTCTTTAAACATGTACACATACAAACACCCCAAAACTAATGTTTCTAAGTAACCTGGAGTTCTTTCACCTGTTATCATCTCATATTTTAAATATATACATATTTTTCCTTTCTCCAAGGCACACTACTACTGGATTATGTAGCTTTAATCACAAAGGTCAAACAATTTCTGTAAGCAATTTAAATGACAAGTCTTCTTACCCCTTTCTTTTGAATTAGGGTCATAGATCTACAGGGATGAAGGCTGTATCATAGATACATAAGGATAAAAGGAAAATACAAAAGAACAACATCACTACTTTAATAGGGGATAAAACAGATTTGTCTCTGTAAGTATAACTTAGAATGAAATAACTAGAAACAACAATTTAAAAGGACATTAACCAATGTATCAGAAATTCAGTCAAAAACCATGCAAACTACCTCAGCTAATTCCACATTTTAGAAAGAAGAATCTGAAATCTGGATTACATACATACATATGAATATATTTAACTATAAATAAAAAGCTATAAATCACAAGCACTCTCAAATATAGGTGGAATCTTTTGACATAAATACTCATCAAAATTATTCCTAATAAACCACATTATTTTATACCAGAGTACTAATCTGTTTTTTAAAAAGGCCATACTTCTGCTTCCAACTAGGAAGGAATAAGCTGAAGTTGATTTATAATCACATCTGAAACAACAACAACAAAAACAAACAGACAAAACACATGAAACAGTTTTCAAAACACTGGCATCAAGCAATGAAGGCCAGTCATCCTTGAGAGATGAGAAACAACTGAGGTGAACTCTATTACTCTTACCCAGCTTACTGCCTTGTGAGAATTTCTGGGTCAACATATTTAGAAGGGGCACTTAGACAAAGTCTGGCAGACTTCCAGAGTTCAGAAGCTGAAGAATCCAGGGAGAGTAAGACAGCTAGAATTCATGTGACAGAGTACCAAAGGAGAGAGCTGCACAGAGAAAGAGTTCAGAAGTATCACTAAGGGAAAACTACTCAAACAGTCTGGAGAATAGTACTTGTCCCACAAGCAAGATTAAAGAAAGTCACAATTCACAGGGCACTGGGAAGAAAACTCAGGAAGGTGGTCTTAAAGTATTCTTGTGGTAATCCTAGGAAGGTATTGCCTTAGTAGTGGAGAATAATTTGCTCACAGTTAAGCATGACCCCAAAACAAAAAAACAAACCATAAAACAAACTACTTCCAAGTAACTTAACTGCATCCTAGTACAAAGCTCGGGATGATTTACAGGATGACAAAACTATCCAGCACACAACAAAGTAAAATCACAAAGTATGACATCCAGTCAAAGACTACCACAAATGCAGAGAAACCGAAAAACATGAGACATAATGAAAAATCACCAGTCAGAACAACACATAACTCAACCAGATGTTAAAATTCACACAAAAGAGCATTAAAACCTTTTGCTACATTCCATACGTTCCAAAGGTTAGGCAATATAGAAAACCCAAACAGAACTCTAGAAACAGAAATACTAAAATATCTGAGATGAAAATGACATTGGCTGAATGACAGGTTAGAAATTGATCATAAAAGCACAGCAATAAAAAACTATCCATAAACACACACACACACACACACACACCCCAAAATACAAACACAATCAGTGAAATGAGAGACAACTTCATGTAGCCTAATATACACAGAAATAGAGTCCCCAAATGACAGGGGTAGGAGTCAGAAAAAAAATATTTAATTTAATTCAAATTTCATTTGCTTCACCTAAATTTCTTTAAAAGATAATAGGCTTTAAAACAAGAATAACAGCAGTGTATGCTGGGGTTTAAACTGGGTATAAAAATAAAATGTATATATGTTTCCTGATGCCAATAGAACAAAACTAGAAATAAACAAACAAAATTCTGGAAAACCCACATATCTTTAAAAACTAAACAGGATACTTCTAAATAACCCATGAATCAAAGGAGAAAAACAAAGGGAAATTTAAAAAATACATCACACCCAAATTTGTGGGATGCTGATAAAGCAATACTTAAGAGGAAATTTACACCCTTAAAATACTTATATTAGAAAAAAAAATCAAATCAATGACCTAAGCTTCTACCTTAAACTAGAAATAAATTAAACTAGAGCAAATGAAATCCAAAGCAAGTGGTGGGGGGTGGGAAGGGTGAAAATAACAAAGATCAAAGTAGTAATCAATCAAATAGAAAACAGAAAAATAAAATCAATGAAATAAAAATCTGGGGTTCTTTTGTTACTGTTTTAGAAGATCACTGAAACTGACACACTTTTGGTCATTACCAATCGGGCAAAAAAGAAAGAACCACTAACAGAAATCAAAGAGGTGACATCACTACAAATCCTAGAGGTGTTAAAAGAATACAGTGGCTTGTACCACTGCTCTCTTTAAAATAGCCAATCAGAATCAGCTTAGACTGTGCAGTCCAACTGCAGACAATAGAGGAACAAAACAGCAGGAGGGGCTACCTGTGTCAGGGATAAGAATCCCCTCCCCTCCCTTGTTCAGGTGTGCTCTCACCATTGCTAAATCCGCAAGACATAGGATGCACCCTTCTACAGAAGTAAATATTGCCTTGCTGAGAAAATTTATGTTTGAGTGCTCTTTCTTTTGTAGCACTGAAAGTTTGCTTCTAACAAAAGTATTGCCAAATTATTTATCAAAAAAAAATTATATTAATTCCCAGTATCACTCTAATTGTTCCTAGAATTCCTTTTTATTTCTGAATTAGATTGGTAAAGCATGGTCTTATCATTTTAATTTCCATTTGTTTCCTTGCTAATGATTTCTCCCTCTCCCTACCCCTCCCCCCCACCACCCCATTTCCCTCTCTTTCTCAACGAAGTTTCACTCTGTTGTCTTGGCTCACTGCATCCTCTGCCTCCCAGGTTCAAGCAATTCTCCCGCATCAGCCTCCTGAGTAGC